ATCCAGTACTTTCAGTTTGTCCCTTTATTCTCTTTACATAAACACTATATTATCATGCGACCGTATGGCTGTGCGTGTTGATCGCAAGAGCGGTTATTCATAACTCCCGCTGAGTATATTTTCAGTGACTGTCACCTGAGTCCGGATGAGTTGCTTTAGGAGTAGCCTCAAATAGCAGCTGCCCACAAACGTATGCTAGATCTGCACAAATCGCCATGATGGACTCTGTAGGCCACATGGTGATCAACTTGTTCCATATCGTCTTTGCTCCTAGTGGGTCACATCTTCAGCGGTAACTTCACAGTAAGAATGGCATAGGGTCCAAAATTTGTTGAGAAATTTCACTGCCGCTGTTGAGCCTTATTCGTAGTCCGATGAAATGTGTTCGATATTTTGGAAGCCGTTATAGAAGAGTGTCCTTTTTTTTTAACAGGAAATCACTCAGCCAGTATGATTTAAGGCAAAAGTACGATGCGTTTCGGCGGTTTATACCACTGATTGGCACACATTACCCAGAACCACACCTACGGGCATGAGTCAGTTTACAGAATCTTAGTCAGAAGAACCCTTATCATGTAGTTTATTGTCTCAACCGTAGAGTTCAGGATGCGAAAACCTTAAACAACCCGAGGCGGTTTCATCTTTCGTTGATGAAACTGTAATACAATGATCACCGGCGGGGCAAACCGGTTATTAGTTAACGTTTTAGTTTGAATCTTCATGAAAAATTTACGTTCATTCTCTACTATTAAAATTATAACCGGTGACAGCGGTAAATTTGTCTCCGCTGTTACTACAGAGACCTGGGAACTCACTCCGTAAATGCCACAACCGCGTATAGTGGAAAAAACCAAAAGCAGTTACCACATAGAGAAAACCACCGCTTGGCTACTTAATCGGGTGCCATCTTGCAAGCAATGAAACAACAGATCACTCGATCAAGACACCGCCTGCACTCGTAGTTGTACCACGCCGTTATTCATGTGGCAAGTTTTAAATGGAGCTCCCACGTATGGGTATAGTTACATTGTGAACAAAAACTCACTAGTCCATCAAATTTCTTCCCGCACCAGTGGACCAGTTGTTTCAGACGTGTTTTGTACTTTGCCTTAGCACTACCTTGGCTTTCACCAATGAGGGAGGAGTACGTGGAAAAGATGACACCCTTCTTCACACGGCCGTTGGCTTTTCCGGAAATACGGGCGTATTTGAACTGATCGAAAAGGATGGAAAAATCAGGGAGGATAGCTATAGTGAAACCGGTGATAAGGATACGGTCGAAAATTCAAGAACCGGAGTCTAAAAATATTATCAAACATCTGCATACAGACCTAACCAAAATGATAAAACTCGACCATCCGTCTTCGACTAGTTTGAACTAAAGGCTTACATAGCAGACTCGAGTTATCATGCATTCAATCTGGTTCCCTAACCAGAGTAATTCCATTCATAAGCTCATGAGAAATCCTCAGTATAGTCTCAGGGAGTTTGCGGTCTTCATACATATGAGGTGTCTACTCTGTGATATCCCCGCACACTGTCTGTTGAAAACCAAGCAGACTGTATCGATGCGACTATACTTCCACTGGATTACAAGACACTGGAGCGAAACGAACAGGCCACGATGAAGCAAGGTCAATGAACACATGGAATGAATGTGCTTGAGCAGCCTTTTCGATCAATAGTTGTGGACGAGACGGCCCAAATGGTAAGAGCGCGAATTTACTGACCGGAAGGTCCGTGGTTCGAATCCCACCTCCGCCTCTCGACTTCCTCTGTCTAGGCTTGGGCAACCTGGCACTATCCCAGCCCTCGTGCTTCCTTCGGGTGGCATGGCAGCTAGGCACCGAAAGGGCGCTACAGCTGAACGGTTTTTTTTGTGGATCAGCCAATCCAGTGAAACCAGTTGTCCCAATCGTCGCGCAGACAGCCTGATTGCTAAGACACTCGGGAATCAATCAATTTATCGGCTATAAACCCTATACCATAGGCACATTGGTTCCAGCTACAATTTCCATCACCGGAAAACGGGAGAGTTGGGGCATATGGCCAAGCCAGTTTGTTCAGAAATTGGGTAGCTGCGCATCGAGAGCGATGCCCTTGATTCATGAGCGCCGGGGTCCCTATCCTGGGAGACACCAGCTGTCGATCAGACTAAATTTACTGGATTCATTGCCAGGTCATACACTGTCCACCTCTCGGTCGCTCCCACTGAGCACAGGGTTTGGCGCAAAGAGCTCTGTGAGGCAGACGGTCTTGTGGCATACGGAGTACATGTCGCAACCAACGCAGCCCATGAAGCGTGAGTAATTAATCTATCGTGGGAGAGTTTCTTCCTCCTATAAACATCTGGTGTACCTCAGCATTAGTAATCCGATGTTCCCACCAGACCTGACCAAAGCCTCGGAGACATTAATGATCAAACACTGACATCCCGTATGTCCTGTGCGTCTAAAGGCTACGTCTCTGATCCGTAAGGCAGTAAGGATTGCGCCGATGCAGTGTAAACTTTGCTCTTGACAGACAAACTGACGTCACGTCAGCACCATAAATGTCGGTGGTTGGCAAAAGCTGACCTGGTCTTCCCGGTTAGAGAAGTAATCTCATCACCAATCAGTCCACTGGATCTTATACAACTGTCCAGGTAAACAAATTTATATACCACGTCGATTATCCCGTCTGTAAGCATAAGGTTTGGATTTGATCCAACCCAGTCTTACAGCAGCACTTTACACTTTGCAGGCGTAAAGTGCACGCCAAAACATGCGGCAGTTGTTTAGATTATTTAAAATTGTTTGAATTTTTTAAGGATCTGAACCAAGGATAGCAATGCCGTCTGCACACCCAATGTCTGTGAGCGAACGTCCCGGGAGCGCTTAGACTCCCGAAGTTTCAGAGGCAGGGAGGAATTTGATGCAGCATATCAATGACGAAGTTGAAGGGGACAGGCAAGGGAAGACAGCCTTGTCACTTATGTAATTGTATCACATTTCATATTGGGGATGTTTTAATTAGCAAGGCAGCGTCAAAACACAGAGCGATCGACGGAGTCAAACGCTGCGTTCAAATCAAAGGAGACGATTATTGTTGGTCATCTGTAAGTCTCGAGACGTGAAATTATTTGTCGAAGGGTGAAGGCATAGTTGATGCATCCATGACCTGAACGGAACCTTGTTTGATTTTCATGGATTTACTGCTCTTCGCATAATGATGACAAGGGGACTTTTGACGCGGTCGCAGTAAGAGTGGTATTCCTGTGTTTTTCGCACTCTGTTCTAAGGCCATTCCTCTGGTGGCTGGCGCTCTTTCTATAAGCAATGCATTAAACCGCTAGCTTGATTAGCTTGACCGCGGTTACGCAGCCCATGAAAAGGTTGGTAGCGGATGATAACTAGATGGCCTAATTTTAAACGGACCCAGGTAAATTTGGATAACGGACCAACCAGGTGTTCGGGTAAATTACGGAAAAAGAACGACTGCCCAAAAAAGACTGGTGCATACAAAAACTGCTTATAATGGTATGTTCGGAACGACAAAATTTGTCGCCAGAATTTTGTGCCATCCAAGTATGAACAAGGCAACGCTCAACGCCGGTGTAACACCATCGTTGGCCAAAAACTATGTTCAGGTGATAGAACAGTTGCAAGGATGGCCGTTTTATTTAGTGAGGAAGGGAGAATTGTTAGGAACGCGCCGCATGACAGAGAACAACCCGAGGTACCATAGTGATGAGGACAGATTGATTGTGGGCATGTTTTGACGCTGGTACGAGTAGGAGAGCGCCATTCAATGAAAACCATAGTTCGGACATACGAAATCCATCAGACAGATGACTGGCCCATATCTGTGAGGGACTCCGAGCGCCGATACAACCCATCCCAGAAGACCTACCTGCGGAGACCGCCATCGTCAAGATGGTCTTGGTTGTTTTACAGGATCTTATGCTTTGCTCTCAGGTCCTAGTCTGACCTCCCATGGACTGTTTCCATGCAATCCTTTGTTGAACGAGTAGGATACCCTGGAACAGGCGTTTCTTTTGCATCCAAAGCACGTGACCGAGTACAACAGAACCTGTGATGCCATCAGTCCATCTATCGGGTGTGGCTTCATCCTTACGAAGACAATCTCACTTACAGCCGTGTTGATAACCGGGTAATCACATCGCATGAAAGCAATGGATTGGAGACACTGATTCTAATACATGCTCCCAGGGACCAAGTTTCTGCACTCTAGAGCAGTGCGAAAAGCCGCAAAGCATTGAAGCCATAGAAACTGCGGGTTGACGAAATCCCTCACAGCCCTGCCAATATAAAGAATTTTGTCCCTGGTCGCAATACCGGGACAAATATCAATCGCTTACCAAAAGTACACCAACTGTACATTGTGGGAAAATGATTGCAACCACATACTGACGTGAGGCTCATCCAAACACACGAACGTAAGTGCAGGCTCGAGACAGTTGAGTAATTGGGATGCGAACACACTGACCAAAAGTCAGTAGTTCAACCCAACATCTGCATATCGGCTGCTTCTGTCTAGGCTTGGGCAACCTGGCCGTATCTCAGCCCTCGCGCTTCCTTCGGGTAACATGGCAGCTGGGCACCGAAAGGGTGCTACGGCTTCGTTACTACTTACGAGCAGCAAAATCGTCTGAATCACATCCCAATATAACATCAATAACTTCCTGTTTCAATGACTTCCTAATCTAATTGATCCGACCACAAAGGAATTCGAGAACCGTCGGCGTTGGTTTGAAATGTGATGCAAGCTATATTCTCCACAAACGATGTGAGGAAATGACAAGAGGCGTACCTCAGCTTAAAAACAGAGATACATTCGCAATACATTCGCGACGGATGCGGCTGTGGGACTATAAACTATTTAACAAGATCCGTAAACCACTCAGTTGTTTCTAAGTCCAGAACACCATCACAATGCTAAAGAGCGAGACCTTCAGTATTGTTGTTTCTGACGCCACGCTGAAGTTGACTTGTTCTCTGGAGCAACGTTTAAACCAGTCCAGTAGGTCAAAAATAGCCGGGCAACATCTGCGTAGTGTGCACAGCATGCAAACGAGTCTTTTCCAATCAACAACCGGTCGATTGCTTTGAACAAAGTCAATCACGTGACGCCGAAGCCGTTGTGCATTTAGGCTTGATTCACTGTGTTATGTTGACTTGAAAGTTTCCGATATTAAGCTTGCCGTTTACGATGTCAGAAAATAATCCACATTGCTCCCCAAATTTACTACTACCCTCTCGACGGAGGAAACATTGATTCCAAACGGTCCAGACAACCATGTAATTCCTGATTTCCAATTGGCCACAGACAGTTTTTCATTGTCATTGACAGTTCAGCATCAGTGTTCAACATTACCGTGCAACCATGATGTAAAAATTGGGACCTGATGCTACACTACTACAAGTATCCCGAATTGTATACGCCCACAGATACTCGTCCAGATAAACCGGCAAGAAATCCACTAATGTCAATTAGCGACCGTATCTCGTAGTGCCTCTAGTCCAGTTGGGGTAAACTCACGCATAACCCATCCCAGAAAGCTGTTTGTACGGACAGTACTCAGACTTTTGACAGTCGCTGCAGGTCACAGTATGCCAACCTGAACTGCGCACGAGAGAACTCTCGTGGCGTACAGAATACATGACCGACCCATTCCAGATTCCTGAGCTGGAGACGTTCTTCAACTGAGGTCCCTCTTGCACAATCGAACACTCGCTTTCGACCTGTCTCGTTGCGGAAACGAGCCATTGACATGACACAGTAGTTATCGAAGACAGGATTCCTCGGTTCTGCTACTGGCACAGAACACGTCTCAAAAAACATACAAGACAACCAGTACTACAGCCTGATATACACGTCCTTTGAGACTCAGAGGTATGCCACTAGTGACATAAGTTGGCAAACTTTATTCGAGTCTTAGAGATCCATGCAAAGACCTTGTCTACCACGATGTAGTCGAAGCCAATACAACTACCACGAAATGTACAATGCTTTTCCTTGGATTGCAAGTGGCGTATCCAGAAAAACTGCATTCTGCAAGGCAGAAAGGATGAGATGATCCTGACCAGTTTATTGAAAAACACGAGTGCCTTCTCTTTTTCGAAGATAAGAACAATGTGGTCTGCGTATTCCAAGTCGACAACAGTGCGGTCATTATCCAAACACCGATATTTTGAAGACTTTCCAGTATACGTCCTCTTATCGCATTGATCACAAGATGAAAGGAAACGGAGTGGACATCATTTCTGTAGAAAGGCTGTTACAGAGCTAATGAGAATTCAGAGAATCTCCTACTTTCACCAACCATTGCTGAGCAGGAGTTCGAGAGAAGTAATCGGCCAACGGCGTCAAATGCACTTAGGAAATCCAACAACAAAATCGTGGGTCGCTTATACGTGCGGCGTTGTTCTAGCACTTGATGGACCGTGAAGATGTGGTCAACGAAACCCCCATCCGGCAGAAATCCCACATGCTTCTCTCGAATCCGTGCTGCACGGAGTCATAAGGCGAAAAGTGACGCTGAGAGACGCGATACAACAGATGAGACCATATCGAGATTCTGTTTACTGGATCTAGATTAACTGACCACAGCCGAAGAGTGCATGGTCAGTCCTTTGGTCACCGATATAATTCACTCTGCACTTAAATTGAGCCTACTCTCACCGTATGTGGCATTTTCGGGTTCTCGAGTACTCATGATAAGGACTTTGCACAAACCGATATACTCCATGGCAATTGATGGACTGCGATCCCAGCACAATTCCAAGATGATCCTGGTAGGATACTCTTGGTTCAGGGATCCTGAAAGCAAGCGGACCCAAAAACATCCACACGAAAACGCATAAATGACGTCCGCTCACATCACTGTGAACGCTGTGCAGGTCTCAAATGGGCATACAGTTTTTGCTACCTTTCTGCGCAGAGGGTAGTAGTCTTTTGCCTGACTACAGGCACGCCAAACAGCCATACAGCGTTCGCGATGTTAGCATTGGCTGAGCGGAAAATATGAATAAACAGCCATACAGCGTTCGCGATGTTAGCATTGGCTGAGCGGAAAATAAGAATAAAAAACCGTCCAACTGTAACACCCTTTCGGTGCAAGGTTGCTCAAGCCTAGACAGGGGAAGTCAAGATGCAGAAGTCGGGTTCGAACCACGGACCATGCAGGCAGTAACTTCGTGCTCTAACCACTGAGCCATCTCGACCCATTGGCTGAGCACACCGACATCAACCTATATCTTCGAGCGACTTAAGAAAGAGGCCCTACAGTTGTTGGATTTCGCAAACCAGAGCACACATTTTCTACCATCACCTACGTCTACCATTCGTCACAAATTTCCTCCTCTAAACGAAGGAAAGACTTCTACTTTATGCGAGGTATGCCATTTGAATTTTATTTCAGAATGGCCTCAATGAAGCAAAAGACAATGGTGAACTGCACTTGCGAGGTAGTGGATCACAGTGAACCCACTATTGCACTGTACTGAGGGACTCAGAGCTACAAAACATTTCATACGACATTCCATGTTGTCAGCGTTTAGGAGAATTTAAAGTGATCTATTATGATTATTCATAACGAGTACAAAACTTGGCCACCTAGTCCTGGAGGAATTTGCCAGCCTTTTGAGTGTACTATCACCGTAAATTAAAATACAAGTCAAGGTTTACGCGCAAATTAGATATTTCGGTTAGATAAAGCAGGCATACATGCGGAAGTTTATTAGGGGACAATCTTGCCAGGTCATCAGTGTACCGACAAACGATGAACTATGACGGACATTGGTACACTAATGCTGTACTCCAACAATATTGCACCCTTTTGATTCGAAGCCATTAGCGGCAAGACGCAAATAGTCTCGGAAAGCCACAGAGCTGGAATGTAATTCATCCCATCAGTATGAACTTGATGGATCTGAATGACACAGTTTTGCGGTTATTCCATTAAAACATTAGCTAACACATTACTCACTTTGTTCAAAGAATGGACTTTGATTCTGCCGAGTCCGACATCACGAAGATCCCGTTCAGCATCAACCCTGAGGTCATTGGAAACTGAAAGCCAAATTGCTTTTTTGCGGTGTCGCAGGTAATTCTCATATAGAATCCCTGCAATTGTGCGTCCCTTCCCAACACCAGCACCGTCACCTTTGAGAAAACGGAAACAAAAAAGCTAGACCCATGCCCAAGAAACTAAAGGCCAATCCGAAAACAAGTCTCTATGCAGCCCTTAGCAAAGAATTAAGAGGTGTTCAGAACATGATCGATATGATGTTATACGGCGTGCACCAGGGACCTGTGGAAGCGAGTGCCAACAAAGGTAGATTAACGACTAAGAAACGAAGTCTGGCACTTAAGTCATAGGGGATTACATCAGGGTTAACCGACTGTGGCAGTTATTTATCCAGAGCTTGAAACTGGCATGTTCCGTAGCTGTCACCAGGTACAGTTTTCAACCAAGTTAAGCTGTACTTTAATTCAAAGGAAAAATAGGCTTCCAGAATATCCAGGTCTAAGTTTCTTGAACGTCGTTAGAGATGATGTCTCCATGTCAATCGGGGACCGTAAAGAACGTAAAGAATGATCACCCAAGGGTAAGCCGCGAAACGCAGTAAAATGGGCCCGGGTGGGGGAGGTTATTGCTGAGCTTGCACACACTGGACGTGGCGAGTGGCCCAAGATTATTACGTCATTATCGGGATTAATGTACAAGTCTACAGTCAATACCCAGCAAAAACTCACCTATTAAGAAACCAGCTCGTTGACCATTTGGAAGGATACATTCGTGCCGCTGACAAGCATACATCACAGCCTCGAGCTGCAACGCTGACAAACAACCACGATCGATAACTTCGTCAGGCAGAAGCAGTCGGTAGTGTATGTCCGGGGGCGACACACTGGACAATGAACTTGATTCGACGACAGGATCTGGATGCTTGGAGCCGAGTTTAACTGAAATAGATAGCATAATGAAAACCGAATCTGGAGTGAGCACCTTTCGTGGAATGGGTATAAAGGACAACCTATTGGTTTGGGATTGGGTACGCTACAGTTAGATATACATACCCGAACCGATAAACGCACTAGTTATCAAATTCAGTAGTCAGAAGTCAAAGATGGTTATCATTTTTCAAGTAAATCAAGAGAAAAAGAACGGAAACGGGAAGAGAATAATAGGTCAAAAGCAGAAAGCGCACACATTGGAACAGAAGTGAAACGTACATGATTGAGTAACACCTCGTGTGCCGTGACAAAACCAAGGATTAGACTAAAGCATTGTGTGAGCCAATCATGAGGAGCAAACAATTAAATAGAAAAATTAATCACTTTGATGGGACGGCTTTTGGAACATTATCTGACTGGTTTTCCAATACTCTGACCAGCATGATCTCGTAGCTAGTGAAAGTCCGGTGCCCAAAAGAATGGCTTTCAATACTAGCCCTTAAGCGTGGTATAGTCATTTTGATATACTATTTAGCACAAGCCGACACAAATCTTCACACCAATGCGCGTTTAGTGGACTTAATGGTTCACATTTTACCTTTAATCTCTGACTATTAACAGCCCCGTTCCAAAATCATATTTTCGCTAATATCTTTGTGTAGCACCAGGGCGAACCAGAATCCATACCTTTGAGAACGAGAGTGCGCGTGTAAGCATCTTGTTTGTGGTGACTGAATGGAGTGTCGCATAGCAGTTGCTTTAACATACATAATGGGCGCCTCCTGTTGGCGTGCATGACAGTCCTGAGCACTAGGAATACTCGTGATACTACGGGAGCACGATAAAAATACTGACTAATGCTGCATGTCACTTGCAGGGAGATAGTCTCTACGTAAGTAAAGTTTGGCTGAGGTCATCTTCGCTAAAGAAATGTCGTAAAAAAGGTAAATTGTCGTAGGACGAGAACTGGAGAAGTCGTTAGAAAATAATAGTCCAAAAGGGTATGACTAGTCTCCAATTCATTACCCGGAGACAAATTGGAGAGCCTAGGCAGTCTGCAGCATCGGAACTCAAGTTAAGTACCACATTCATATCCAGTTGGTAAAAACTGACACTTGTGTTGATAAAGGTACGTGGTATTGTGTACAGTTCTATGAGAAGGAAAAGGGCCGGAAACACTAACCCGATCTGTCACTTCCAGCGGAAAACGGAGCTAGATGGAACATCCAAAGTACGGTTCACTGCTACGCACATTCATTTGGTGTTTTTCATGACGGATGCTCGTATGCAGCTAGGGGGACATAAGTGAACGAATTCGTTCGAATGTTGGTACTTTTACCATTCACGCAAATGACCAACTGATAGGTCATTTTGATTCTACTGGGGTTCCTAATACCTCTCGTAGTACCTCTCGTATGCAGAAAAAGACGGTAACGACCCTGGGCATCCACCTAAACGAAGTCTTGATGAGTTACATATGAATTTGGCGTTCATCCCAGAAAGGACAACTTTGTGCAAACCAGCGTCATCTATGCACGTTAAATGTAAGGCAGTGAACTACCGTATTGGAGAAACTTGACTCCCGCGGTCCTGGGTTGCCATGATCAGTGTAGCGCTCCACACATATCACCACAAATGGTGATTTAAGGCGTGCGCAGGTGGAACTAAGAAGAAAAGACTCACGTTTCGTGGGTACATAGTCTGCATAAGTCTCTGCCTGTGCTAGGTCCTCATCTTCGTCAAGGTCGTCATCCCGCTGTTTGAATAGAAGTAAAAAACATACTATAATTTTCATAAAAATGGCGCTTTTGAACTAAGCCAACAATACCAGGAGAATGGGGATAGTAAACTTGTGTAGCCCTCAACAACAGTACTAAATTCGACTCCTTGGATGGACCACCCGAGACGCGCCTTCAGTGGCGCTCGCGCATCCAAGCTATCACCTTTGGTGCATAGCTCCCAACTTAAAAGTCCACTGACAGCCCTGTGTTTACGCATCAATTATGTCACCTTCCGCCTCAAATGCGCAGCTACCTACGCCACCTCCCCAAATCGTCAATGAACGGAAATGTCAGCTATAACGACTGTACGACAAGTACGTGTTTATTGTAGCTGATAATGATGGTGATACTATGTGGGGCAGGTTCCATGAAATTCACTGGTGTCCCGAACTGGGGACCAAGTCAAGTGGACGATACCACTGATTATCCTCTGTGAAAAACTGCAGTGGGAGATATTCATTCAGGATTTAATGGTTGCATGGTGCTGTTTTTAGAATTGAGACCAAGGTTTGACAGCACAAGCTAAGGAAAAATTCACCCACGAACTCACTTTGAACATATATGGTTTGATTATATTCGCCGGAACATTAGATGGTTGCAGACTGCGGGTTGACACGGGAGCCCTGGGAACTTGTGATCCTTCAAGCCAATTTAGGTTTGTTGGGGCAGTAGATACAATGGGAAGAAGAGCATCAGATGTTCGCAGGCGTTGAGCATCCAACTCAGAAAGACTACTGGCGGTTTTAAGAAGCTTCGCCGGGGATTGTGTCAGTGTGTCTGCAAAGGGCTGGGGTCTCTTTCGGATGATATTGGGGGCTCTGGGGACACCAACAGAAGCGACGCTTCCATTTCTGGGAGGAGATCTCCTTAACAACTGACTAGCCATTCTCAGCTGAGGTTGTTGCCCTAAGAGTTCCGAACTGAGGTGGGATTTGGGGACGATTTTGAAAACCGTGGATCCTTTTGTGCTTAATATTTTTACATTGGGTGTGGGGGTTGATACAAGCTGTTTTGCTGAGTCCGACTTCGACGAACCGGCGATTCCAGAAGAACTCAGAGAGGATGGTGCGATTCCGGCATTGATGAGGGCATTTAGGATTATGTCACCTTCAGGACAAACAGTAGCAACAGATGTAGGAGCAGGAGATAGGGTGTTAGATAGAGGGGAGTTCGTGACCAAAGGGCTTCTTTTGGGATAGACATTTACGTTTGCGTGACCCTCCAGGACAACAGGAATTTTGGAATCTGCAACTGACGACTGTTCTTGTTTTGCATCGATCTTTGGGGTCTCTGCGTCATTGAAATCTTTCGTGGTTAGCCCTTTTAGAGCATCCTCGAAGATAGAAGCTGGATCCATATCACTGAAGGGTCCAGTAAGACGTAAAAAAGTTCAGAAACCAATAGGAATATATCAACATGCAAACTAAAACTTCAGAAATCCGACTCGCCCGATAAGACACATCCAGCAATCTCAAGTATATGCTGGATAAGAACCCGCTTACATTAGTTTCTGGCTGGCAGGCATTTACAACTAGAGGTTCACTAATTCGAGTTTTTTACGCAACGATCGACTTGACTACTTGGCGGAACTGAATTGCCCGACATTTAGCAGTACGAAAACACCATTGGATAGTCTCAAAATTGAGGGTAAAAACAGAGGGGGCGTTGTTATGCGATAGGAACGTTTCGACCAGCAGGAGTAAGTTGCTCCAAGTAACATACGACTAAAACTTACTAACCATACTACAAAAAATCGTATTGTATCAGATAGAATAAGGGCCCATTTGCCACATGCCATTCCCTGGATTGTATATTTTTAAAAATGACCCAGAAGGTGCTCCTGCCGACCAAGGATTGGCAGAGACCGAGGGAATTGCTACGCAATGCTGCGTTGTAGCACCGAATTTAACCTAATTCCAGGTACGGTCCGTCAGTAGGTAAATGTGTACGTGGTTTAAGATTATCTAGCTTAGCTGTTCCGCAACGCCATGTGAAGCGTTAGAAAGAGTAGGCGAATTTCTTTATGCTGAAAAGCTGACCGTTGACCCTGGACGACTGCGAAAAATGACGAAGCCAGAGAACCCAAAGACGCCATAGTGCCTGAAAACGATAGAAATGAGCAATGAACCGAGCACATTCAAACTAATTTTGCACTTAAGCACGGGCAGGTTGTTTTCCCTTCCAATTGCGTCGGATGACGACTCTGGAATGTCAGGCGACCCATCCAAGCCACTATCGGATCAATCTGGATGAGGTCGTGTTCCAAAAAGAACTGATGAACGAGTGTGACTTGGCGGATGAATCACAGTTGAATTGGCCGACCCTAAATATCCCTACAGATCTATTTAAGAGCCCTCAGTTCACGCCAAAAAACCAGACAGACGGTTCACAAAGCGTATGTGGCACACAGGTGTCGCTCACAGTTAGAAAGCCTAAAACTGGAAAACAGGAAACACCCATAAATGGATGTGGACCATGGAGAGCACCACGGGCACTATGCTTAATTAACCTCGACTAAGGCGAAGCCACGCAAGGCCAAAGCTTGCTATCATGCACGTTTCAAAACGAATTTGGAACCTCTGGCAACTTACGAAATAGTAATGGTGCAATGCAAAAAACTGTTTTAGACAAACTGTCCCGGTACATAGGACCAAGGGTAGTTCAACATTAATTAACCACCTGTTCTTTGCAGACGGAAAAACCAGGGATCAGTGCCACAGAAGGGATACTTGAGGCAGCAAAGAGAAGTGAATAGTTCCATCCAGCGTTCTAGTTCTTGGATGTTTGGGGCATAGGGATTCACCCGGCTTCTTTGGGTGGTGCAAGTATTCCAACTATTCTGGGATCCTCCTTTATCTATACCATGGCAATCTGTGCTGTCTAGAAGACGGTCTGTCTAATTATCTCAAGTGCTGAGCCAGGTCTCAGAGATTATGACTACATCCAATCCCACTTTTCTACAAGCTAACTTCTCTAACTTGTTCGGGACCCTACGCGCGTAGTCTGTTTTTTTATGTCATCTGAGTTGTTTAGTTCGGCTATGTAGCCACAAACCGTGCGCCAAAGCACAGCGGTTCCAACTGCTACAGTTTCGTTTGCTGAGGATAGCGGATAGGAAAATGACAGCCACATGTTGTTGACGGCCCAATCACTTCATTGACTTCAAGTAGTTTTGTTTCTCCGGCATGGCATGCAGTGAGAAGCTTACGTATTGAAGACAGTAGCTCTAATGCAGGACGGCGATTGGCCGTTTGACAGTAATATCCGTCATGGTCACCAACCATTCATCCGTCTGGTTCCGATGGTCTCATCTGGGAAGACAGCAGTTACCAACGCGACTAAGTTGACTAGTAGGGGCCTTCAAGGTTCGTTACCAAGTTATGAATGGACCGCCTATGAATCTCCCCCAACCGAGATAAGACTGAGCGAACAGGAATTGGAAACACGAACGGTCGTGCGGCATACGAAGAGCACGGCTTAGCCAACGTTATCTATGGTGTGGTCAATGGATCTATCGAGGGATGCTTTTATGGCCATTAGGCCTATCTAGCTACTAGTGATCCGATGTTCCCATTGGACTCACGCTCCGGAGACTCCGATCGTCAAACACAGAAATCTGTACGTTGGTTGGTGTCGGCGAATCGATTAAAAAGCGGGTTTTCGGTTGTGCAAAGGGTACTACCATTGAAGAATGTGTCCAGTACCAGAAGCTGCGTTGGTTGGGACATGTTGCGTATGCCGAACCATCGTTTGCCGAAGAGAGTGCTGTTTTCCATGCCCAACTCAGAGTGGAGTAAGCAGAGGTGGCCAATCCTTGACTTGACAGAAGGGTATGAAGGAGATTACGAAACGCTTGGGTGCTGTCGGTGCTACTAGCCTTTCAGGGTGATCCCAACTGCGCCTGGTTGGATACACTACAAGATATGGCTGCCACACGATATGAGTGGCGGTCTTGTTATCAGTTTCTATCCAGATTGCCTGAGTGAATGTCGGGAGGTCTATGCACCTCGGAATGATTGTAATAAGCTAGCAACAAGTCCCTTGCCCGTCCACATTTATTCTTTTTTTACAATAAGGCCTTCGAATAAATCATGGTCGTACAGCAGTGAAGCATTGGTGTTGAGCACTGATGTCAATGCTATCAATGTACGGAGATCTGCATACAGCGGCTACGTCTCTAATCCATGAAGGTACATCAAATCACAGCAGTCTTCACTCTGCAGCTGGCAACCAAGCAGACACCACGTCGATCCACAAATTCCGGACGTTGGCAAACGCAGCCTCATCCTTCCGAGTAGGGAAGCGATTCATCAATACGCCGGAGCGTGGATGAGCCAAATCGATTTGTTCATCTGAGTGCATGATGCATTGGTTTAATCCTAACTAGCCTTGCAGTAGAACCTTACACAGTGTATGTGTGAAACATTTTAAAATACAGTAGAACTATTAAGGTTATTTAGAATGGTCTATAAGACCAATAGCGTCGGTGTACCCAACGGCTGTCAGTGCACTTGGGTCATCGAGATGTTAGAGTCAGATGAAGACTAAAGTGGCACATCAATTACGGAGTTGAAAATGCAAGACCATAGAGGATACCCTTACCTGACACCAATGGATGTGGTGAGTTAAGGATGAAGCTTGCTGGAGACCCATACGTGTCCACGGGAGGAGGAATACGGATACTTTAAAATAAACGAATTTAGAGTGGATGGTCCTCATCAGCAGACACTGCAGCATTTTCTGAGCGCCAAGAGTCAGGAGCAGCTTTCAGAATAAGACGGCCACTGTCCGGTCGTCGACAGTAGTGGCGCGGGTAAAACGTCGCTCAGCCGTAACACCCTTTCGGTGCCTAGCTGCCATGCAACCCGAAGGAAGCACGAGGACTGAGATACTGCCAGGTTGCCCAAGCCTAGACAGGGGAAGTAGAGAGGCAGAGGTCGGGTTCGAACCACGGATCTTCCGGTCAGTAAATTTGCGCTCTAACTAATTGAGCCACCTTGACAGTATCTCAGTCATTGTGCTACCTCCGGAAGATATGTCAGCTAGACGCCGAACGTCTTACGGCTGTATTTGTTATTTATTATTGGGGACTTAGCGAGGGGCCCGCGCGCGCCACCATGGCCGTTAGCTTAAGGTATAATTTTCCAAGCACTAGTGGAGGCCGTTGACCGCAACGAGGTCATGTGAGTAAGCGATCTCTGAGAGTGTCAAAAACGTTGAGCAGAGCTCCTTTCACCTCTTCCATTTGTCGTCCAAACCATTACCATCATCTGGATTTGGTTCCGAAAGCTTTTAGGCCAAATCGACTAAATATTGTTGGCCTACAGAGACACTTTTCGGGTAGTGAACTTAGTAAACTTGCACCACCTGCCATATTCTTGAGGGAAAGCGAACTGATACGATTGACGGCATAGTGGTCAGTGCCATCGGTAGTTGAACACTACATGGTCCAACTGAGTCCACGGCTGGTTTGCAGCCTATAGCCTCCGGATAACACACGGTGAGCGTTTGTGCCGACAGTTTGTACTGGCTAGAAAATGATATCCAGAACAACTGAAGTCATTATCTGTGCGGCGGACGTCTATCTAGAATCGGCCGGCGAGATAGGATTCCTCCGCAGCCAGTCTGAACCTTCATATCATCTGCCAGAATCACCATATCCGAACATCTCTCCGACCGAAGTGGCAAGTACCGATAAAAATTTTCTCCATCCTAGTTGCTGTTTTTTTCGGAACGCATGATAGGATCCACCATAGTTATGGACAATATAACATCCGAGTACAACGGCGAAGCTTTCCTGCCGTACTCCCATAATTTAATTGATGGGAATTCATCGCAAAGGAGAAAAACACGAGAGGTACTTAGGTATAGCCCAACACCAAGCATTCCAAGGTGATTGCAACGTCAGACACTCATTCAGGCACTCGTAGACGTTAGAATCGCATACTTAACGTAGCTCTCACAATCTCGTCCACTGACGACGACATCGGTTAGAGGCCATGTCTTGAAGCGCCTCCAACCAGGCGCAGCGGGGGTCATGCGATACCCACCCTGGAAGAGGGTGGCATCGACAGTACCCAGACTTTTCACAACCCTCTTACATACCTCTCCGCTAGGTCAAGAGTTACCCGCCTTCCTGTTTCCGCCACTCTAAATTGGGCAGGAAAAACAGCACCCTCTTTGGCGAACGACGGCTCGGGATGCGCAATACATGGCTTAACCAACGCTGGGCACGTTCTTCGGTGAAAGCCTCCGCTGCTCAAACGAACACTTGCTTTCTAAGTGCTTCGTTACGGATTCAACGACACCAACCCACAAAGGCTACGGTTCAGAGACAAGGTTTGTAGGACACCTGAATATGTCTCAGTTCCACTACTAGAACAGGCCGAGTCCCACGGCCATAACATAAAAACAAAAACCGGCGTGGAACTACTGACCGGGAGGTCTATGGTTCAAACCAAACATCTGTATCTCGACTACTCCTGTCTAGGATTGGGTAAATCTTAGCTCTCGTGCTCCTTTCGGGTGGCATGGCAACTAAGGGATTCCAGTTCTTTGACCGATGGCCACTGTACTTTTACATGCTGTTGGTCGCTGCACTTCCCTGGACATTAATCCTAGGGACCGCCCTTGAAAGCTTATTATTCACTAACTTGTATACCGATCAAGACTCGTGGCATCACTGTTTCTAAGCCATTTGAGTTCATATTTTCGAGTTCTGCTCCTACCAGTTGAACTCCTTGTGTGTGTGACATTCCTAGTTTAATCCACGTCACGCAAATCCTTCCTAATGAACCCGCTTTTATTTTGGAGCTCATTGGCATAAAAATTCCTGGAACTGGTGAATCCAGGGAGACCCCCATGGCCAATAACTTATTAATATTTCTCCGCATGACGTAGCTAATGGGTTACATCAAGATTCCGCTTCGAAGGTGCTCATTGAAGGTTTGCAAATGTGATGCGAGTAGTATGGGACGATTGTTCGAAACCTCAAACACACTGCTGGTTTCTCCTTGCTTGCTAATTTCAGACACTTATAACGTAAACAGAGAGGCGGCCAACCCTTGACTTGGCAGGGGAGTACGAAGGAGATTACAAAACGCTTGTGTGCTGTCGGTGCTGTTCGCCTCCCAGGATGGGGACCGCGTGATCCTCAGTGCCTGGTTGGAGATACTACAAGATATGGTTGCTAACCGATAACAGTGGCGTTCTTGTTCAGTTTCTATCCAGATTGCCTAAGTGAATGTCTGGAGGTGTAGGTACCTCGGAATGATTGTGGTAAGCTAGCATTAAGTCCCTTCCCCATCCACCTTTACTCTTTTCTTCACAATAAGGCTTTCAAATAAATCATGGTTGTACGGCAGTGAAGCATTGGTAATGAACACTGACGTCATGCTGTCGATGATGATGGGGTTTATCTAGTAGGCGTAGTTTCCGAAATCTGAGTAAAGCAAGCCACCAATTAGATGGAAATTCAATTGGATGTCATGCGGGAAAACATCAGCGGGTTGTCCGGCTTCGTCAGTTGGATGCTGAAGGAGAGGAAGTCCACTGTCTCCATAGATTTCACTGTGCATCAGTCCCAAAGTAAAGACAAGCCCATTGTTGTTCAAGTCATCATCATCATCATCATCCTCATCATCATCAAGGAGGGAAGACCTAGTGCCTTCTGATCAGATATTGAGGTGCCTATATCTCTGGGCGCTCAATCAATCTGAAAGGAAACAGAGCAAGAACGCCACCGCAATCGACTAGCCGCCATTATTATCAGTCTCCGGTCAAAAGCAGGTCACAGGGGCCTAATCCTGAAAAGCGGACCGCACAAACGGCCCTCAACGTCTTCGTAGCGTTTTTCACAACCTTTGGCAAGTGATACATCATCCACTTCACTGTTTGCTCCAATCTGAAGGAAACAAAGAGATAAATATTGGTCGCGGTAGACGAGGTTTCGGCGTGCGTGGCACATGGTCGAACAACAGCCATTGATGTCACTTGATTTTCCCCGAACACTCGCTTCTCAATCTCCCTTGTTACGAATTTGTTGACATCATCCATCACCAGCAATGCTCCTGAGAAACTGGTGACAAACAAAACCGAGGACACCCTCCGCCATCTGTTCGACAGACCATATCTCGCAACCATAAAAAATGGATCCTCTAACACTGCCTGGCACACATTTCAGTCAGGGTCCGATAGCCTCGAATTCCCGGGATTCCGCCTACCCTATACGCCCCAACCAGGGTGAAACGAGCAGTGAGCTGTCCGCGGGCTGCAAGCAATCATCCCATACTACTTATGTTTGCATTACTTCACATACACGTCGTCCAGATTGTTTCACTGGGACCACGATACAGAAGGAATGAATCGCAATGCACATCTACCTTACACCCCAACCCCTGGATGCTAGGGATACACAGATCCTTGGCTAGTCGGCGGGTGCTTCTATTGGAAAAATGTCGCCTTCTGCTTTATTGACAGATTTATACATGCTACGAGCCACAAGTCAGATTGTCTAGCTTGCGCGAATGCCACTGACATCCGTCTATGACATGTAGTCCACCCGAGACTCATTACCCTTACTTTCGAGCACCCTAGGTCTCAAACCGAAGGCATAACCCATTTTCCGGTTTCTTTAACTGCGTGTTAAATTGTGACACGGAGCTATCCTTCAATATTTTCGTCGCAAAATTCAGCTATGAATTTTTAATCCCAGCCATTTGTGGTACACAACTAGACGTGGGCTCAACAAGGTACACTCGCACTTTAGTGGGCATCCATGACTTTAAAAGCACCAAACGAATGCTCCCGAAATATTTTGATCTCATGTGCGTCGCCCCGGAAATCGGCAAATTCTCTAAAGTGGTAGACCTGTGACTCAGCAATTCAACCTTGTGTAGATGCCGCCAGGGATGTCGACATATTACCAAGTTTTCCTGGTGAACACCATCCTAAGGTGGCAACATTCCTCCCCATCGCAAGGCAAACAGAGTCCACGCTCACTCACACGCACATCCCAGTGGAGCACGAGACCAGTCACCTGGGCGCGTCCTTCACCTATGGCGAGAACGAGACGATTGATTATGCAGTGAGTGATGCAGACAAACAAGCCGACAATGGTACGGCCTAAATTCGAGGTGGGAGGAATTGACAGATATGTTTTCACTCAGGAACATCAAATAAACTGAAACGATCTCCCGACCCACCAAAGACTATTGCCGCGTGATACGACTTTGAACTGGAGCAGAAACAAGGTCCGAACGAAGGACTGTGGCGTTTTGTACCATTATTTTACTTCCATTATAACACTACGTATTTCATCAATTGCATAATCGTTTTTTGTTTAAATACGAGAGACTACAAAAACACGCACCTGTACAATTTCACATAAAGACAAGCATGGCCACGTGCTTCGACTCTCTCTTCTGATTTCGCTCGCGCTTGCAGCGGTCATTCGCGAGTCCTATGTACTAACTCTGGTACCAAAACATTTCAGACCATTTTCGGAATCTATTATATGTGGGAACTGTTCAGAAGAAGACCTCTGGACCAAAATAATCGGATTCTTGTTTATTCGCTGACCTGGGCCAGCAACGAACTATTTTAAAGAGAACAATTGTTAGTGAGTCTGTTCCATCTGACCCCTTTATTTTTGTATACCCAACCTGGTTTAATTGTTATTTCTTTGCCACACACTCCTGGTAAACTAGCTTATTGGGTAGCCAGACCACTACAAATTTGGTGGGCCCCAGTATTTCTAGGTATTTTTTTAAAGCTTTTTCTTTCAAGTCGTCGTAATTTTGTTTCTTTAGCCCGGTAATTATGGAGGCACACTTTGATTCAGCGGATTTAGTCGAGAATGCGATTGGCATACGTTTACCAGACTACAATCCACGCCACCCCAGGGTATGGTTTCACCAGTTGGCGGCCGTTTTTTCTACCCGACGCATCACTTCCCAAGTCACTCGGTTTTCCTATGTTGTCCAACATCTTCCTCGTGATGTAGCAAAAGAAGTTGAAGATCTGTTGGAAAATATTCCTGAGGCAAATCCGTCTGACGCCCTTCGAGCGGCCGTCATAAGTAGGACAGGGGACTCAGAAAACAAAATGCTACGGGATCTATTCACCACTGTCAAACTTGGGAACAGATCGCCATCACAAATGCTTCGCCACATGCGCAATCTCCTCTGCGGCCATAAGCTAGCGGTGGAAATCATGGCCCAACCATGGCTCGAGAAACTCCCACCCTCCATGTCCCACGTCATCAGCGCTTTCGTTGATAAACACAGCTTGGAGCAGTTAGCCCAAATGGCGGATAAGATACACGACACTTATCCCAGTAACCCGATTAACTCCGTCTCCCGCCCTGAGCCCACTACTGATTCAGGCACGCTTCTTGCTTCTATATCGCACCTACAAGCCAAGTTTGATGCTTTGACCGATCGCCTACAACGGTTAGAGATCAACATGCATCGACCACGTTCACGATCCAGATCGTTATCTCGTGCCCGTCCCTCTTGGTGCTGGTATCACCAATCTTATGGCCCAAAAGCACGCAAGTGTCAACCACCTTGTTCCTTCAAGCCGCGTTCCAACACCCCTTTAAACACCCCGGCCAGTCAGTAACGGCGACGACTGTCTGTGGCCCTCCTCGCACTAGTCGCCTGTTCCACATCACCGACCGTTCAAGTGGCCCACGTTTTCCTCGTAGATACGGGAGCTGAAGTTAGTGTGCTACCACATAAGAATCCACTTCCCGATTCTGCTTCTTTCTCGTTACAAGCCGCTAACGGTATCCGCATCGCTACTTACGGCGAACGTTCCCTCACCCTTGACCTTGGATTGCGACGTGCGTTCAAGTGGATCTTCCTTTTGGCCGACGTCCAAACACCCATCATCGGTGCAGATTTCCTGACCCATTACAATCTATCTGTCGACGTGCGACACAAACGTCTCTTAGACACGCTTACTTCCCTCTCAGTCAGCGGAATTAGTACCCCAACTTCATCCACAGGTATCCGAGTTATCTTACCGGATTCACATTTTGCTGACAGACTTGGGGATTTTTCAACCCTTACTCATTCATATCAGTACACCCAACCGATCACTCATTCCGTCGTTCACCATATTCAGACGAGAGGTCCACCTGTCCCTGCCAACCCCCGCCGACTTCATCCGGATAAGCTACAAATCGCAAAACACGAGTTTGACCACATGCTCGAACTCGGCATCATCCGCCTTTCATCCAGTCATTGGTCATCACCCCTACATATGGTAGCTAAGAAATCCAAAGGTGATTGGAGACCCTGTGGAGATTACCGTTCTCTCAACAACGCTACTATCACAGACAGGTACCCATCCCACATATCCACGATTTCGCAAGTACCCTATGCTACATAAACATCTCCAAACTCGACCTCGTACGAGCATAATACAACATACCCGTGGCCCCGGATGACGTTCCCAAAACAGCCATCACAACACCGTTTGGCCTATCCGAATTCACGCATATGCACTTTGGTCTTCGAAACGCAGCCCAAACGTTTCAGCGTTCCATGGACGAGGTTTTACGTTTGTGCATGCATACTTGGCGATGTTTTAGTCGTTAGCACCTCCCTAGCCGAACACGCAGCTCATTTCAGAGCAGTGTTTGAACGTTTTCCCACTTACAACATACGTCTGAACATTCACAAACGCTTATTCGGTGTTACTAGCCTGGAGTTTCTTGGCCACCACATTGACGCCACAGGTATTTCACCATTACCCGATCGCATTTTGGCCTTAGAGCCATTTCCCGTACCCACCACTCTCACTCAACTTCGTCGTTTCATAGGTGTCAATAACTACTACCGGCGATTCAACCCTCACTGTGCAGATATTTTGAAGCCACGGACCGATTTACTTGGCTCCAAAGAGAAATCTGCAACTTTGCCCCCCGCCGTTGCTCAGGTCACCAAGTTATCTTTCCTCGATACTCGCGACAGCACAAAGCTGATTTTGACATCTGATGCTTCGAATGCTGCCGTCGGTGCCGTGCTTCATCAAGGTGTTAACAACACATCTCAACCGCTAGTGTTTTTCTCGCAGAAGATGCAGGCTGCCCAAACGCGTTACACTGCTATTGGTCGTGAATTACTCGCAATTTACCTTGCTATTCGCCATTTCCGGCACTTGTTAGAAGGTAGATTGTTTACCATTCAAACCGACCATAAGGCACTCACCTATGCCTTCAACGCCAAGCCTGATCGATATTCACCGCGCAAGATACGCCATCTCGACTATATTTCACAGTTCACTACCGACATTCGGTACGCTCCAGGTTCGGACAATGTCGTCGCAGATGCCCTATCCCGTCTCGACATCAACGCCCTTCACCCTTCTACGCAGCTGGACCTAGCCAAGCTGGCGAACCTGCAAAACAGTGATCCTAATTTTTTGCCCATTCTATCGTTCCCTTCATTTCAAGTCTCTTCAATTCCGTTAGTGTTTACCATCCAAACCGACCATAAGGCACTCACCTATGCCTTCAACGCCAAGCCTGATCGATATTCACCGCGCAAGATACGCCATCTCGACTATATTTCACAGTTCACTACCGACATTCGGTACGCTCCAGGTTCGGACAATGTCGTCGCAGATGCCCTATCCGATCCCGACATCAACGCTCTTCACCCTTCCACGCAGTTGGACCTAGCCACGCTGGCTAACCTCCGAAATAGTGATCTTAATTTTTTACCCATTCCATCCTTCCCTTCATTTCAAGTCTATTCACTTCCCTTACCCCTCCAATCCGGAACCATTTTTTGTGATGTCTCCAGGCCCTGCTCACCCAATCGTCCCCGAAGCCTTTCGACGGGTTGTTTTCGACCATTTTCATGGATTCTCTCATCCAGGAATCGGAGCAACAAGGAAGTTGATTAGTGCACGCTTTGTATGGCCCTTTATGGATAAGGACCTGACATCCTGGGCCAAATAGTGCATCGCCTGTCAACGCAGTGAAGTAACTTGGCATTCAAACTCACCCGTTGGTTCATTTGTCGTTCCTGATGATCGATTCACAAACGTCCATCTCGACATTGTTGGCCCACTTTCCCCATCAAACGGTTTCACGCATATTACAACTATGATCGATCGTTTTACCCGTTGGCCAGTAGCTGTACCCATTTCGGATAATTCAGCTGAAACGTTTGCCCTTTCATTTTGCAGCACTGGATGAGTAATTTTGGCATACCTTCCACCGTTACTACGGATCGCGGTTCACAATTTCAGTGTAATCTCTTCCGGGAGTTTTCTACCTTATTCGATTTCCATCACATATCGGCTACCAGCGGTCGGTCTGGTTGAGCGTTTCCATTGATACCTCAAAGGTGCATCGACTGCCAAAATGAACACGTCTTCATGGTCCTCTTCTTTATCCCTTATTTTGTTTACCATTCGCTCCACTGTTAGGGAGGATCTCCGCAGTTCACCAGCCAAACCAATGTACGGTACAACTTTACGTTTACCCGGTGAACTGGTTTCCCCTTGTGGCGCACATCCCAAATCACCCGTCACATTCATCACCCGTCTGAAACAGCATATGTCCGAACTTCGTGCGACACCGACCAGACGATCAACGCGAACAGAACATATCTCAGCCGATCTCTCTTCTACATCTATTGTGTTTGTCCGACATGACGCAACGAGGAAACACCTCTAACCCTGTTATGATGGCCCCTTCAAGGTTATCGAACGTCACTCCAAATGCTTTGTTTTAGGGAGAAGCGGAAAGCATGATACCGTCTCCATTGATCGCCTGAAACCTGCCTACATTGAAGCACCCACGACCACATCCAGCAATCCTGCTATTCCAACAACACCCACACCTACCCAAGATATCGCTCCCGCGAACCTCACTCCTTCCACTAGCCGTTCAGAACGACGCGTCCGTTTCCGTCAGCATTTAGCTGATTACGAAACTTGAAGTGAGCAACCTGTGATTCGTTACTTTAGTTATTCGAGCGTGTTCCCCTTTCATGGTCAACGCTCTAGTGGGAGAGTAGTGTG